TAGCACTTGGCTGGCCTTGCAGGGTGTCCCAAGCCACAGTGCCCCCTGAGTGCTCAATCACCTAGGCCAAGTTGGCTGAGCTCTAACAGGCCTAGCTACTCTGTCCACGCTGGGCCCCAGAGTTCAAGCAAAAGGATTTTCCACTGATATGGCTGTCAGTGGAAATGTCGTTGCTATATGCCTGCTGAGCACCAACCCCATGCCAGCCAGGGTGGGCAGGGAGGGTAAGGCACCAGCCATATCTCTATTATAAGATCGAGTAAAATCTCAGGGCCAACAGAGAGGAGGGAACTGGCCCAAGACCACACAGTGTGTGGGCAGAGCGGGCAGGCGGGCGGGGCTGCGGTGGTGGGGGCCCTACGCACAGCTGGAGGTTGCCTAGTCCTCTCAAGGGGCAGCGCCCGCCACTGCTGCGGTAATGGGAATCAGCTGCTGCCCTGCTGTACCCCTCCCTCCTACCTCGGGAGCCAGCTGTGCGAGCTTCTCAGCCAACCCCTTCTGTGGCCTCCCCTCCTGCCGGCAGTGACTGCTCACTGAGCTTCTGGGCCGGGACCCTCACTGGGCCACCTTGCCATTTCACTGCCCCTTACCCTGGCATCTGGGGCTCTGGCACTGCTGGTTCTTTCCCAATGCCTCGCAGCAGCCTGGGGACAGACTCTCTGTGTGTCAGAGAAGGACAGATAGGCCCACGTTGGCCTCACCACCTGGCCCCACCTTCCTGCCACCACCTTGCTGTGAAGTCAGGGGACACTGCCTTCCCTCCCTGGGCTCTGGGACAGGATGGAGGAGGCTGGTTCCTGGGACATCGAGCAGGGCCGCTGGACACAGAGCGATGGGCCGGGTCTGCCCTGGATGACTTCCTGATGAGTTAATGGGTCACCCATTATGTCTCCACAGGTCTTCCCAGTACCTGCAGGAGGGCGGCCCTGCAGTAGCCCTGAGAAACAACCCAGAGAAGGCAGGCAGGTGATGGCTTTAAAGCCAGCCCCAAGGCCCCCTGAAGGCCTGGTGGGGCAAGGGCAGACCCTACCACTAGCTTCCAGGACCTGGTGGGACTGACTCAGCAGGAGCCCCCTGGGCTGAGCGGAGAAAGGAGACCTAAACTCAGATGGGGACACAACACTGCCTCTGAGCCTGATGCAGGGTCGGGGAGGCAGGCAGGGCCCTAAGGGCAGCCACTGGCCCAGAGTGGCTTCCCCAGTCATGTGAGTCCCCTGCCCCTTGGCTTTCCACCCAGCCTTGAAAGCAGGTCCTTCAAGCCAATTCAGGCATCAGCTGCCCAGGAGCCCCAAAGCAGGGCTGGCGGAGGGGCCATGCTGAGAGGAAGTGGCTCTGGAAGCACATAAATCTATATCCTGGGGCCAGGGGCCCAGGCTGCCTGCTCTGTCTGCCCTACTATCCATGATCACCTTATAAAATGGAGCATAACGTCATCCTGTTATGGGTGGAGAAACTGAGGCTCACAGGAGTAACATCACAGGCCCAAGTTCTTAAAGCTGAGAAGTTGCCCCTCTGGGACTGGAAGGCAGCAGTCTGTCTGGGTCCATGTGCTCCTGCCTGAGGCTGGGCCCTGGTACAGTCTCCACTCCCCAACCCCCTTCCAGAGGACCCTAAGGCCCCAAGAGGCTTCCTGGGCAACCCGGTCTGCCCTCTCTAGCCCCCTCCCTAGCTCCACATTTCCTGTCCTGGGCTGAGTGCTTCTCCCCACCCCACCCTCCACGGGAGCTGTTTGGCCCAGTGAGTCCCTGGAGACAGCCTTTGGGGTGGTGGTGGGGGGGTCATGCAGGGGGTAGTGCCTCAGGCCTGAGCTGAGCCTGGGGAAGGGGAAGGGGGCAGGGGCAGCTATGCTGGCCACCCCCCTACAGTTTTCAGACCTCAAGGAGTCACCACGAAATTCCATTCTCCTGACAGCAAAGAAATTGATTCATTCTTGCCAAAGCCTGCGGCCCCCACAAGAATGCTATAAAGCTTTGTCCTGCTGTTCCCAGACAGGCAGCCACACTCGGGTTCCCCGTACTCTCACCAAGCCTGGCTTCAGAGGAGCACAAGAAGCTCTTGCCCAGTTCTACGCGCATGCCCCTTGCAGGCTGGGCAGCTCCTCTGTACAGTCGCTCCCTTGATACAATACAGCAGTCCCTCTCTGAGCCTCAGCTTGCTTTCTGTGCAATGGGCACACTGCTCTCACCACCTGGAGTGGCAAAGGCACAGCAGCTAGGGCGAGGCGGGTAGCATGAAGGCTGAGTCAGGAAAGCAGGGGAGCTCAGGGGCTTCGGGGGCTTGCGGTAGGGAGTGCCATGCCCTGCGCTGGGGGCTACAGAAAGACTGACTCACAGGACCTCGTCAGGTGGGGTATGGATAGCATGGCTATCCACTGCCTTCTCCCTGCCTCTTGCACATCCTCAGCACTTAGTACCCACTAACTAATGAATTCCAGGTACAGGGCACAGCCCATGCAAAAAGTTGGCAGCTGTTGGGCTGAAGAGGGATTGCAGAAAGCAGCAAGACGAAGTCACAAGGTGCGAGGAAACTAGGCTAGAACTTGAACTCATAGGCAATGGGGAGCCATGGAGGATTTTGATCTTTGAATGGGAGTGGGGGGTATGATCAGAGTTGTCTGGTGGCTGCATGGAGAATAAATAGAGCAGGTAGGCTGCAGACAGGGAAACCAGGGTGGAGGCTGCCCGAGTGGTCCAGGGGAAAGATGATGGCGGTGGAGGAGGCTCGGTTTGCAAGTAGTTCAGAAATGGGATAGACAGGAGTTAGCGGGGGGAGTGAAGGACACGGGGGCACAGACACGCTTTAGACCTGAGGCCGTGGCTCAGTTGCCTATCTGGGGGCAGGCATCCCAGCCATCGGGTCTTTTTGTCTCCGGCCCACCCCAGCCCTCTCCAGCTGTCTGGAGGGTCTGGGGCTGGGTACTGGCTGATGGGGGAGGGGTTTATGGCAGGAGGTGACGCCATGGGAGACTTGTCACTTGGGCACAGCCAGCACCATCTGCTCAGGCATCTGCCTGCCCGAGGTGGTGCCTGCTAATTACCTGGGGTAAGGAAGAGTCCTGGGAACCTCCATCCCCCACCCGGCCCCATCACAGAGGGACTAAGGGCCCCTAGGGCCCTAAGAACAAATGGGCCACAGCCCCCTTGACGGGGGTCTGGCAATGGGGCCGGACATTTGCTCAATGAATTTTTATAGAGTATCTACTATATTCTAGGACCCGTTCCAGGTCAGAATTCCATGAGGTCGCTTCTGCCTTGCCCTGCGGTTGACACTCAGGTAGAGGGAGAGGGGCCGTAAAGTGATACGTAAGTAACTAAAAATGCCATTTCAGGCAGAATGCTAGCGCTGTGATGATAACTGGCCAGTGGGCAGAATGAGCGCCACGGGGGAATCAACTTAGCTACGGTGGTCGTAGTGGCCGCAGAGGGCCTCCTTGGGAGGGGCCGCGGGAGACGGGACGGGAGGGGGAGGAGGCGCGGCGAAGTGGAGAGCCGCCCCCCGCCGCGCTTCCGGAAGGTGCTGCGGGCAGGGGTCTCGGACCTTGAGCGCATTCCTGCCGCCCCCGCTCGTGCGGGGGACTGGCCCGGCCCGTGGGAAGGGCTGGGGCCGGGGGCCGTGTGCCGGAGAGGCGGGGCGCGGAGGGTGCACAGCTGGGCCACATCTGGCCCCAGAGCGCGGAGGGACCAAATGGGACAGAAGGCAGGCTTTCATCCCATGAGAGAAGGGGCGGCCTTAGTTTCTCCTCGCCACGGGGCGCCAGGGGATCTCAGGGAACCAACCCCTCACCCGACGCAGGACCCGGACTCGAGTAAATTAACTCGGAGGAGAGGGGTGGAAGTTGGTACAGGTGCTTTCCCGTTGGAACCTCCTGTCCCCACCTGTGGCACAGGTGGCTAAACTACTCGATATCTATAACGTCCGAGCTGAACTAAGCGCTCGGGCCGACCCAGGCGCCGCCCTAGTTTGCTGGGCCTTCACCATCCCGAGGGGAGGAAGCCGGCTTCGGGGAGGGGAAGGGCACAGCAAGGAAGTGAGGACGTCCCCTGCGGCGCGTCGGAGCCCTGAGCGCGGGTCCCAGCACCTGGGCCACGGCGTAGAGGGCGCGCCCCTCGGCGTGCGGACGACCGGTTGTAGCTCTGGCCAGCGCTGGCCAGCATGGGTTTCC